CCGAGCCTTGAAAACCCATCTATTCCATGCGGCCGGCCTGGCGTAGTTTTGATTGGGCTTTGCTAGGGGTTTTATATGGGGTATTTTAGAGCAGGCTTTTTATTCAATATTTATTGTGATTTTTATTATTGCCTGTTCACCGCCCTGAGTCCCGTAAGGGAGATAGGGCGGTATATAAATTTAAATAATAAATAAATAGCAGTGTTCCAATATCTCAGGGGCTGCCCCAAAGAAGAGGGAGTCAAGCTATTCTCCAAAGCACCAGAAGGCAGGACAAGATGCAATGGATGGAAACTAATCAAGGAGAGAAGCAACCTAGAACTAAGGAGAAACTTCCTGACAGTTAGAACAATTAACCAGTGGAACTACCTGCCTCCAGAGGCAGTGAATGCTCCAACACTGGAAGCTTTTAAGAAGAGACTGGACAGCCATTTGTCCGAAATAGTATAGGGTTTCCTGCCTGAGCAGGGGGTTGGACTAGATGACCTCCAAGGTCCCTTCCAACTTTACTATTATAATTATTACCTAAACCATTTAACATCCACAAAAGTTGTAAAATAGGAGAAAAACATATTTTGCTTTGTGTAAATTTTATTGCTTACAAGTGGATTTGCACAGTGTTCTTACATTTAACCAAACAGCTCGTACGGAGAGCGCAGAAATCTACTCAAGCATCGGTGAGAGAGACAATTCGGTTGTTCGCGGCTGTCCTCCGCCGTGGAGCAGTTTTCATTGTTGCGTTATAAAACAAAATGCCAACGGAAAGCTATACATTCTTCCAAATAGAACAGCTGAAATGCTAAGGAACAGGCGGGCCTGCCTACAACTACCGGCAGGACTTCCAGAGTGACAAAAACATTCGAACGACACCGACACGGCCACGAGCACGGGTGATCAAGTACGCAGGCCTTCCGGAGTGCGAGGAATCGTTACAGAATCCACAACGTGGCTGCGTGTGCTTCCTGGGCCAGGGTCTCCCCGGCAGGCTGCGCTTCTCCAGGCCAGCGCAACGCACAAGGCGAGGAGTACTTGCAGACCCAGGAAACAGCCTGTCCACAAAAGCCCACCGCTTCCATTCCCCCCTGCCCCGCTCAAGGCTACACAAGGACCACGAGAGTGTGGAAATGTCGGCGTTCCACTGTGGAATAATACAACAACAAAAGATGGAGAGGCAGCCCAGCAGATGAGGCATGACAAGACAGGCGTCTGTTGCATGCAGAGCAGTGGGGGGAAGTGGCTGGACAGACAGCAGGACCGACGGTCACAGACTGCATGGGGTGAATCACGGCAGCGCGTTTGGCCTACCCTTCGGGGCTGGCGCGTAAGCAGCCACACTTTGGAGAAAGACAGGTGTGTGGAGGAGGGCCTTCCTTTGGCTTTTTTTTTTTTTTGCTGCTTGGGAAGACACCCCCTCGGATGACATCAGACGCCCATACAGCTTACCTTCCAAAACCAAAAAGGGGGAGCTAAGGGTGCCAAAGGAGGGGGGCCCGGGCGTCCTGCGAGGGGCGCTGCCTCTCCTCGGAGCAGGCCGGAGCAGCTGCAATCACAGGGGGATGCTGCACCCGAGAGGCGGTTTCGTCCTCCACTAAGAGCTGTGATTGCGCTGTCAAACTGAAAAAAAGGGCTCGGTTACGGTGAGCACGTCCGGAGTTCGGCTCTTTTAATAGGCTGGCCCCAAAATCTAAAAGTGTAAAGTTCCTAGGACTTTCCTTCTCCCCAATTCGTGTCCCTGGGCCAAAACCCCCTCAGCAAACTGGCAACTACAGGACATGTTAAATTACCAAAGCTTGCCAGCTGTTTATTAAGCTTTTAGAGTTAGTTGTAGGACAGGCTAAACATTTAAAATCCACCCCTTTGTGCCATGGGTGTGAACGAGCAGGAGGCCTTTGAGGAGAGAGATGGCAGATGGAAAAGAAGGGGAGCGTGTACATTACAATAAAAATTCCAAGTTGCCTAAGGGCTCCGTCCATATTTTTTGTTCTTGTTAATAAAATATCACTATTACCGCTATATTACAGAGAGAAACAGTTCGTAGAATAACCAACTCTTCTATTACAATTTCAGAAATGTGTCTTTAAAAACCCTCTCGTTTTAAAATGCCCTTAATATCTTGTGCCATACTAAATATATATATTTATATCCTCTATATACCGCTGTGCAGTAAAAATACACTTCCCCCCCCCCCCCAAAGTATGGGCTGTAGACTAGACATTTTTGTTAAGGTGAAAAAATACTGCAGGCTTTAAAGCTCAAACTGAGGCTTTTTTTTTTTTTTATCAGAACAGTGCATGTGAGAACTATTTTGCAGAAGCACAGAATGTGGAGAAAGCAAAACTAGGGTTCAGATGTAACTGCTGTGTGTGTGTGTGTGTACGCGTGCCAGTTCTTCTGTGTGGCCTAGTATTTAGCATCATCCTTTAGTTAATGATAGCAAAGGGCCCACTTATCGTATCGCTGAAGGTGCTTGAGGTTTACGTTGACGCAAAAGGTTTGATAGTAAAGAAAAGCCAGCCCAGAATTTTGATAGTTAGCATTGTAACTTCTAGACAAAGTGGAATGATCTGCCTAAGGCCAGGGGTAGGCAACCTTGGCTCTTTTACGACTCGTGGACTTCAACTCCCAGAATTCCTGAGCCAGCACAGCTGGCTCAGGAATTCTGGGAGTTGAAGTCCACGAGTCATAAAAGAGCCAAAGTTGCCTACCCCTGGCCTAAGCACTCTCTTACGTCCAAACCATAAAAACAAAAGTTGCCCAAAATAAACCGTCTTCCGCTTTTCGGTTTTCTTCACAACGACTTCCAAGAAGAAAGTGTACAAAATTAAAGTGTTTCAAGTACAATCCCAGCCTAACTGCACGTCATGGCCGTTTTTGAAAACATCGATTAAAATGTGGCAAAAGAGCGAATGAAGAGAGCTAGGATCTCCTTCCGGGCTTTACGCGGTGTCTGCTCTAAGACTAAAATAATTCCCAGCAAGGGCCTGAAGACTCTCAATACACACAAAGATCCGGAAACTTCATCTCATAGACGGGAACCGATTGGTAATGGGGGCAGCCGGCGGTGATGGTCAGGGTTCCCGAAGGGCTGGGCGGGGGCCTGCAAAGAGAAAAGGCCACAGGGTCACAAGGCAGACTTTCCGCTGGACAATTCCGTCTTTCGGCTGGCTTTGGACCCAGCTTTGTACAGGTATGCAGGTCTTGGCGTATTCGGGTCTTTTCCCGTGTAAAGATTGAGAGTATCTTGGCGACGTTTCGACGAAGTCCCACTCGTCATCTTCAGGCTGGGGTCTTCGGTTTCGTGCTTGTGCGAGCAAAGTGTGATCGGAGCTGCCGTCTCTCTATAAATATTGGTGTGTGTGTGTGGAGTTCTGGCTTAGTTGCTGTAGGTGGGTTGGTTGGCTGTGTGGGAGTTATTGTTTGCGGATTGTTTGGCTGTTTCGTAACATCCTGAGTAGTTGAGGTGCTGGCTGTGTGCCCATTAGTCTTTTGTGTTATAACGATCTGGGTACACAGCCAGCACCTCAACTACTCAGGATGTTACGAAACAGCCAAACAATCCGCAAACAATAACTCCCACACAGCCAACCAACCCACCTACAGCAACTAAGCCAGAACTCCACACACACCCACCAATATTTATAGAGAGACGGCAGCTCCGATCACACTTTGCTCGCACAAGCACGAAGCCGAAGACCCCAACCTGAAGATGACGAGTGGGACCTCGTCGAAACGTCGCCAAGATATTCTCAATCTTACACGGGAAAAGACCCGAATACGCCAAGACCTGCATATATATACATATATATATATATATATATATATAATTTATTAATTTTCCAATTTTACATTTGAGTATTTAAAAAGCAACGTGGTGACTGGGTGAATCAATAATTCAATAACAAAATCTTTAGTGCAAATCTCAGGTTACAACATCAGATATTTCTTCTCTTTTTTTCCTTAACATTTACTATCTCTATTCAAACTACTACATTTCTAA